CTTTGGGACTTTAACAGCAACAACCTGCCTCCTTTGGCGAAGCCTAGCTTGATAAACCTACCCACACAAAGAAGTTCAAATTTTCAGGAATTTGAGATACACTTGGAAAAACAATTAAGAATTCACAAAACTTCCAAAACCTTAGGAAGATAAAACCATAAAAATAAGTAAACCTGGCCCAGGGATGCTGCAGCTACAGGCATAGGTGAAATCTCTGAAAAAAGTTCATCAATAGGCAAACCAAGTTCTTGTTCTATCATACTGAAAGCAACTTCCGTAGAAAACGGGCTTATTCGATCTTGCAACAATGAGAGTTCATCCACATATGATGGTGGTAACAAATCCTACAAGAATAATTTATTTAAAATTTTTGTATATCAAATTTTCGTCAATGTTATATGGAAACAAGCCTGCAAACACATAAATGAATTCCCATCCTCCTAGATAAGCAAGAACAGACATGGAGTTTAGAAAGTGATTGAGATTAATAAAGTTAATATATCTTATGCAAGTAATTACCAAGATAGGACACCAATGGTGAATTAATACCCAAACAACAATCAAGTTATAATACTATCAAATGCCTACGTATAGGCCATTGGCCCATTACAACAAAAATATCAAGAGCAAAAGTAAGAATACATCAATAGGGAACATTCTAATACGAAGTGCAACAGAATGGCATGCTTTGTATATGTACTTTAAATAGCATAACTGAATTTGAAGAGAGAATTAATCCCAATGACGTTTTTATTTGCACTCATTTAGCATAATGAAAATTGACAAGAAAAAGAAGCTTTATCATCAAGTAAATAACAATTCAACAGGAAAGTTATATGAAGTGTATTAAAAGACCAGCAACACATAGAAGGAACACTTAAAAAAAAAAAAAATATCAGACTGGATGTAACTTACTGGACGAGATGAGACAGCCTGAGCAATTTTAATATATGCCTGCGAGAAAGTAACAAAACACTTCAATTTTTAAAATGAAGTTGCTTTTATCCAAAGCGATTGAAAGAGTTGTAACTGATATCACTGGATTAGATTAGAAATTTTAGTACACTAGCATCATATAAACAAAATACTGACATGCGACAATAAACAATATCATCCACAAAACTCAGCATCCATAGCAGAGTAGCCTTAAATAACAGAACCGTTGTGGTTACAAAAAATGCACATTGGACCTACTACCAAATATTATGAGATATTCCATAAAAATGGCAGTTAGGCATGGGACTCTCTTAGGCATTACAACAAGAACCTTGATAAAAAATATCAGTAAAGGTGAGTTGATGCAGACACTTCTACAAATTTAAGATGATCAAGCGATACATTGAATTTTTACTTAAACAGTGCTCCATGCCCGAGGATTTCCAATTTAGAGGATTGACATTCTGAAAATTACATAATGTACTTCATTCTTCTCCAGCTGCCAAAGAATATAGCAGATATATGGCTCAAAAGGACGTCAAAGGCAAAACCTGGAGTGAGAAAAAGAATGAAGAAAACAGAGGGAACATTTATAATAAACAGTATAACTCAACCGGACACTCACGAATCATAATGATTCAGTTCAACAACAAGATGAAAATCCAAAAACCCAAAAAGTTCATGAAAACTTATGAAGAAAACGAAATGCAGAAACCTCGGCTTGAACAAACTGAAAGCTGCAATGATTGAGCTGATCCATTTACACCACTTGAACAAAGTCACACGGTAATTCGACGTCTTAGAAAAACAGTATGGACCCCATTTATCATTACCAATCAAAATCAGAATGACACCAAGTTGTAGGAAAAGGGGATCAGAAAAAAGCCCAAGACTTTATTATAGTTTAAAAAAACTTGACATACCGGCCCAAGTTCCACCAATATCTTCCTGAGTTCTGCAGCTCTAACCTACAAGTAAAGAAACAAAACGGAACATTCAGTGCTTGCCAACGCAACCCGCAAATCATAAGCTTCAAAAATTTTATCCTCGCGTAATAATGAAAATCCAATCTCTCCATCAGAAACATACTGCAAATAAACCAATTAGGTTGCACAAAACAAATTTACAAACCTCAAACATTTCATCAGACCGCTCCATCAGTCTGTCAATGAAACGGAGGCCAAACCATTTGCCAAAAGTAGTTCCTATCTGAAACAACCGGCGAATAACAATCAAAGGCTTTCTCCTATAAATGGCAGCAATCTTAGATATCCTGTACTCAGCCAGAGAGTCCGCCTCCGAGTCGCTGAGCTCGAAGAGGTAACCAGACTTCGCCGTGAAGGTATCGACTTCACCACGCTCACCACCGGCAGCGATGGCAGCACATATGCCGGATCGGTGGGTCCCAGAAATTTGACGGGGATGAGGGAAAAGTGGAAGAAACCAGAAGGGGCGAGACGAACGGCATTGGTTGAGGCATAGAGAAGAAGAAGATTGGGGTTTGCGAGTGGCGGGAAACGATGAGAGAGAAAGAGAAGGATGTATAAGCATTTGTAGCGGGAGGACCGTCAACTGTAAAGTGGAGTCACAGTATGAAGGTGGGAAGGAATGGAGTGGAATTTTGCAGAAGCTATTTGTTCCGTAACTCTCAGAAAGTCTCGACCTCAATTTTTTGTGAAGAAAATATTTGAAAATGCCACAAGCTAGCTTCGGGACCGCGCATGGCTTATCTTTTTTTTGACCAGAACCGTGTGGCTTACCTTATGTCAGATTTTCAAGATGCTAAAATTATATCGACGTAAGCATCAAGCTACAGGCATTAGGGCATATATTTATAAAAATTCTTATCCTTTTTAAATAAAAAAATAGATGTTGGCACAAAGAAAATTAAAAAAAAAAAAACAGATAAAAAGAATATGCGAATAATGTGGCATCAAGCTTGCCTATTAGAACCTTCCACAACTAACTCTCCCGATAAATATCATTAATATGATAAGTGTAAATCTAAAAAGAGATTCTCATCTAAAAAAACTATCCTATCAAATGAAAGAGTCTCTTAAACTTATAAATTAGTTCACAAATTATTTATGTATAGTAAATATAATTCCAGTGTCCAAACAATACTTATTATAACTCATTAATTAACCCATCGCTCATATAATTAATAAATAATTACTTAATTACTAAAACAATCTCGAACAGCATCATTTTTCTTTCTTCTCAACTATATATAAAAAACAGTCAGGACAATATATTGTTGTCGCATATTTCTACATCACAAAGTCTTCTATTACGGCATATTAACTTGATATGCATAGTTTACAATTAATTCAGTAATCGGTTTATATCATTAACTTCAGTACTTGTTACAAATCATAACATTTGAATTGCGAATTACACGATCCAGAACAATTGTTGATGTTGATTCAACCATTGACTCTGTTGATTTCTTGAATCATAAGATCTGATCTAGAAGTACAAGATTTTGATTCCTCTGTAGTCTGTTCTCAACCATCTCATTATCCACGTACCTACTGAAGCCACTAGCACAACAAAGTGACCAAATTTGTATACTCATATACATCCATTGACAAGAATGTAATGGCTACAATCTCCAAATCGTTCCAATTTCATCGGATGTGCCCAAAGGAACGATGGAACACATTCTGATCATGCACCCAAATCCCACATATGTAATCTAATTGACTTGCTGAGAAAGAAGAACAAGCAGCCCTTGAGGTCCCACCAATATCTCATTAAAAAACTGAGTAAACCAAACCAAACCACTGGAGTCACGTCCACACCAGCGAGCGGAGGGATCACTTTGCGGGTCTGAACAAGAAGTGGTTCTGTGGGAGCATAAGCTATAACATATGGGAACTTTCCCACAGGAAGCTTGGGATACCAGGACATGACTATTCTCAAGATAAACAGAAATCCAAACACTGACAGAAAGGGACCTAAAAACCCAATTGCTAGCTTTGCAGTGGCAGGATCCAAATCTGCAAGAGCCAACGTCAAGTTGAAGTTTGTAAGAGGAAGTGCATGTGTTATTTCTGTTGTGGCCTGCTTTAGAGTATTGGAAACTGCATTTGAGTTGGAAGAGGCCATCGATGAAGTCACCACCGCATCCAACGTTGAGAATACAGTGCCGGCACTACATTGCAAGTTTTGAGATCGACCATCTGCAGCTCTCTTGGTTGAAAACTTGATCTTTCCTGCAATACTTGAAACGTCAGATTATAAGGTAAGTAGAACATGGTACCAGTAAGTACAAAAGCCAAGCATTCTATTCAGTCGTCATTCAAGTGCCGGATCCTATAAAGTAAGGTGTGGCCACCAATTTAACATATATAGCAGTAGGTTAAATGTACTATAAGAGTTGCATTTGAATGCTAAGCGTAATATAAGAGTTGCATTTGAATTTGATGGAATTCAGAAAAACAAAAACAAAAACGATGACCAGTTATGAAAATTTGTACAGTATCCATGCTTCTTTGGCATTTTTTTTTTTTTTTAAAAACGATGAAATTTCGTAAATGGCTGTAGGTGATAAGTGATCTCCTCGGTACCAAATACAACTTCATATTTACTCTCTAAGTTAAGCCAAACGGAATCATTCAGTGTCAAGTAGAAATAAGCAAAGCAGAGGTGGATAGCAACTCTGTTTTGATGGAAGCAACTTTAATTAGCATATCAATAATTCAATTAGAAGAATGCCGATTAATGCCAATCTCATGAATCACACATAGATGAATGTCAAGTTGCAATAAAAATTGTTGAAAACTGATTAAATTAAGCTTGCTAAATCTGTAATTGTTCTGCATTTCTTCACTGATCTAAAGATGCTGAGAGAGAGTGAAAGAGAGAGAGATGGATTAATAGACAATTCAAACAATAAAAAATATTTGAACAACAGCAAAATCAAATGAATATTACTTTAAAAAGAAATTGAACCTAGGCCATATAAAAAGTGTGTTATGGATGATCTGTGAACCTATTCAACATTTAAGCAGAATACTAGTTTCAGATATCCCCTAGCAATACTCTACTGCTGCTTAGTGCCAATATAAGATCAAAACTTAGATACTTAATCCTTGTCCGTTATTGTGTTCACCTGAGGACCATTTTCAAATAAAAATCTATGAAGGACTGAAATGAGACACTAATGCCTAACCTTTGGAACAAGAATTCATTCTACTCAAGAAAGAGTGACCTGGCAAACAAAATCATTCTCAAAATCAGGAATACGAGCTTGTTGGCTGAATCTTGGTAGAGGCAAGCATGTTATCTTTTTCTCGTTAGCATTTGGGTTAGGTTTGTATTTCCCCTTTCCTTATCATCAGCAATAACCACACAAATTCAAGATAAGAGCAAATAAGAACTCATTGAAGCCCCAAAACAAGCAAAATTAAAGTGAATGCTCCAAATTATTCAGCCCTTCGAAGCATTCCCCAAGAAGTTTACGGATTTCCTACTGGCTACAATAGAAGCTGCACGGAATTTTCAAATTAAAGAACACATAAAGGGGAGCGGAAGATACTCACAGAGACATTGAAATTGCTCGGCTTATATATAGAAGGTTTCCATCCTACATAATTGAATACAGAAAGAGAGGAGATGGAAGTGAAAAAGAAGACCACTTGGAAAATCCACAAAGAGTGAAAACGGAAAAAGTAAAAAAAATAAAAAAGAACAATACCTTTTACATGAACGATGTTCGGAAGATAAGATTGCGAAGCTAGCATTATCAGCAGTGATAACGAGAGAGAGTACGATAGTGAGGGAGACCGTGTTTTTGATATCGAACTGCATTTTCCGGGTACGCTGTCGTGAATAACAATAACCTCGGGTGAAATGGTAAGATGACCCGAATCCGACGTGGAGGCTTCTTTTGATAAGCTATTGTGCCACGTGTGCTTCTCCCACTTGCTACATAGGCAACATTCTCCAATCCGCACACGAGTGAAAAATTTACACGCAAAAATGTTAAAGCTTCATAGACATATTTCTTGTATTGCCATAACTTACTTTGATTGTGAAGAAATACAAACTATTTGAGTAGGGTTCAATTTTGGGATCTCACCTATTTTGCTTTTCCTGTTTAAGACTTGTATTGAATTGAGTTACTCAGTTGTACTAACATTTTCAACATTTTTTTTTTTTATGAACATTTTCAACATTATTGATTTAACATTATCACATGCAAGAAGAATTTGTTGAATGGTCTTTTTCTCCATTCAAATTTCAGTGGCGCTTCACAAAAGAATGTTCATGCATTGTTTTAAACGTTTACTAGCCACTCCTTTTTTTAAAAACTGATGTTGTGTTTCTGTTAGTCTAACTTTAGTTGTATGGTTTTTCTCATTTTATAAAATTGATCTGCAGATACCTCTTCTATCTTAGAATTAAATCTTTATGCGCTTATCATTAGACCAAATTTGTTGATGACATGAAGTCTCTCCATTTTTCAAAAGAACTTTGGGAGAAAACATATGATGAGCTAGTGTCTCTCAGCTTCTCTCTCTCTCGATTTTATTTCATTCACATTTTCTCTTACTCCTCCGGTCCTTAATATAGGACCCATTTAACTAATTTGATTAGATTAAGAAAGTTAGGTAAGTTAGTTAATTATAAGAAAAGTGACACATTTTTCCTAAAACACCATAATCATCTTTTTTAATACTCCATCTCCCTCTTCTATTTAATTATGGTTGAGGGAGTATTTATAGGGATAATTTAGAGAAAATTGATAAAATGAGAAATGGGTCTTATATTTAGGACCAAAACCAACTCAAGAATTGGGTCCTATTAAGGACCAGAGGAGTATTATATAAAAAGGAGAAAATTTATTCCCCCTTACTTTCTTTCTTGTTTTCTCTTTCCTTACTTCTGTTTTAGGGTGTGTTTAGATGAAACCAAACCATAGTTTGGAGAATAGCTTCTGGAGAATAGATTCTGAAAAAAATAGATTTTGGAAGAATAGATTTTGTGAAAAAGTGATTTTGAGAAGTGTGAGTGTTTGGATAGTTGTTATTAGAAGTACTTTTTATATAACAAATTGGCATAAAATAAATATGAATAATATAGAAAAAATATATTTTATGATATATTTTAATTTGAAGGAATAAAATTGTTAATAATATATTTTTATTTAACATATATTAATAATATATAATATAATATAATTAATAAATAATTAATTGTATATATATTTATAAGATATAAGATTAAATATGTTTATAAAAAACAACAAGATACATATTCTATAGGCTCTCACACTCTCCCTTTTTTCTCTAAAAGTAAAAAATTTCTGCTTTCCCAAAACCATGGTTTTGAACCCAAACCATGGTTTTGATTTTTTTAAGGGTGTTTGGCTAACATTTTTCCCAAACCATGGTTTGGGGTGCTTGCCAAACACACCCTTAATCTCATTATAGATATTGATTACATGAAGAGAATAAACAAACGAGATACTTCTCTTCGATCCTTAATCCTAATATAAGACCTATTTAACTAATTTTGATTAGATTAAGGAAGTTAAGTAAGTTAGTTAATTATAAGAAATATGACATGTGTTTCCTAAAACACCATAATCATCTTTTTTAATATCTCTCTCTCTCTTATTTGATTATGGTTGAGGAAGTATTCGTATGGGTAATTTAGAAAAAATTAATAAATATGAAAAATTCTTATTTAGGACTAAATCAATTTAACAATTAGATCCTATCTTAAGGATCGGAGGAGTACCATAAATATTTTTTCCCCTATCAGTCTTGGCCAGCATCTCTTAGATATCTTATTGGGTACCACAAATAGAGAACAACCAGGTAATAAAGAAATCCTATGGGTTATTGGGATATGCCTTTTGAGACTTGAGATGGAAACTTGGCTTTGCAAGTTGCAACACAGCTAGAATGACAATGATTATCAATACAAATAGGACAGATTTTGCCAGCGGTGCCACTACAAAACTCAATGCATGAACACAGGAACCATAGTCATCTGTTGCCACATGAACACCAGCCTGCAAGTTTCATAAATGTTTATCTAATTTTTTCCGTACTGTATAAAGCTGGTGATCGATTAATTAATTTCAGGAAATCTTACATCTCAAGCAAAATCCATGCAAAAAAAAAAAATTAAAGCAACGGATTAAAAAATAATGGAAGAAGTAATCGGTGAGAAGTATCTATATAATCTATAAATAACTTGTTCAAATAAGTTGTGTTTTCTGTGGTTTTCCCATGTTACAACTTTTGTCCAATTCTGTCGATAAGGAATGGATCGGTTGAAACAATGGAGGGATCCGAATCGGACCTAAATGGGAATGACATGAAAAGTTTTCAATTAAATCACTGTTTGTATATATTTGGTTGCAATTTAGCTTATTTATTGATTGATGACTTTTTCCCCCCCAGTTTGTGCATTGCTTCAAAATAAAGGGAACATTCATCCGGGCAGGTTCTTCAGTCACACTTGATATATATTTTTGTTATTGTTAGTTGTTTAAAATATATATATATATATGCACTTATAAATTACCTATAGACTATGGATACATGTTACTCCTTCAGTCCTAAATATAAGACTTAATTATTGAATTGATTTTGGTCCTAAATATAAGACCTATTTCTCATATTTATCAGTTTTTCCTAAATTATCTCTATGGATACTTCCTCAACCATAATCAAGTAGAAGAGAGAGGAAGGATATTAAGAAAGATGATTATGATGTTTTAGGAAAAACATGTCATATTTCTTATAATTAACTAACTTACCTAGCTTCCTTAATCTAATCAAATTAGTTAAATAGGTTTTATATTAAGGACCGGAGGAGTATTTTATTATTCCTAGTTGTTAAAATACGTATGCATACTTGTATATTTACTCAACTTGATAAATCAAAGGCACCTTGGCCGAAGTTTTGTTAGAATACGTATTTATCACTTTATGGGAACAAATTAAAGGATAAGAAGTGTAATATATAAATGAATGAAATTACATGATGCTGAGTAGCAGGAAAATGAAGCAAACAAAAACTTCGCCATATGCAATGGAGCTTCTCACAGCACTATAAAGCCTGAAAGAATTGTAACTCTCTACTGCTGATGGAGGAAGGCTTCAGGAGAGTTAAATTTATACAACAGCTCCCACATTTATCATATATTTCTGTTTTGGCCTGAAATTCTAGGGGCTTTTGGAGGGTAATTATTGTGGATTTTTAAACATACTACTATAATAAATACAATTATAACATGCATATGTTAGTTTATTATTTTTTTAAAAAAGCACGTTAGCTGAGGAATGCCTCAGAAAAGTCAATTATAAGCTTCAAATGACATAACTGATTAGCGTACAGTTAATGCAAGTAATCTGTAAACTAACGGTTTCCATTTCAGAATTTTTTTTTAAAATAAAAGGGAAACGTTAACTATTCATTTACCAATTATTTTACCTTCTTATGTCTCAATCTACTCCAATCATATATTTCATGCCGTAATTCTTTTTGGTAAAAATTATAGCAATTAAATCAAAGATATTTTAGGTTGGCAAAAAAAAAAAACATATTTTAGTAAAATACTATTAAATTTTAGGGGGAAATGGGAGTAAATCTCTCCTTGAAAAATTAATTGGCAAATAGCCCTTAGGATGATGGATAAACTTTTTTTTTTTTGGATAAAAAGGGAAAAAATATTAATAATATAAATATAAAGTATATCATAAAGGCAATACCAAAGAAGGAAAAAAAGGTTAGCAAATATAAATGAAGAATGATTAACTACTACCACAGTTAACTATAGTAAATAGAGAGAGGTCAAAATATTCTCAAGACTACACTTCCTATTCCTTTCATTTGACCAGCCACCTGAATAAATTGTCTAAATGGGTACCAAAAGTTGTAGTGATGTGATCTTAGAAGGGAAAAGAGAGAATTCAATAATCTTAAAAAGAGTGAAATGGAGATACTCATAATTAAATAAGTGATCCCCTCTATTTTTCAATTCATCAAAAGTGTTGAAAAAATTGACCTTAAAAATAGAATATTTCCTATCATAATTATAAAACTTTATTTATAGACTGTAAATGAGGTTTTATAATTAGGACTGAAAAAAATATTAAGAATGATAAAAAATAACGTATATTTTTCTGCTTCTAGTTTTATGCAGTATAATGGTCCAACAAATGGTATTAATGAATTTACAAATTGATTCAGAAACAACATAATGCCAGTAGCCAAATGTAAATTAGCCTAATCATGAGTGAAGGCTAGACTGGAGAATAACACGATATTCATCGGTGAGTTATTTTTCCTTTTTACTTTTCTTTTGTCAATTTGAGAGTCAGAACGTCACGTCGTTTGAGGCGTGCAACAAGACGCGTTAGATTTTGCCGACTCTCTATTCGCTTTGGCCCAAACAAAAAACGACTCTCCATGCTCTTCTCCAATTTCGTCGGGTTCTCGATGTCCCTCGCGGTTGTGCCTGAATAGCTTTAGATACCTGGTCGTCATTAGATTTTCATGTTGAATTTACGTAAAAAGTTTGTCAAATTTTGAGTTTTCTGCTCAACGTTTGCAAGATTGCGTGAATGAAGCTTATAGTTCATAGGAACAACTTCACAAAAATCTCTGGCAATGAGCAACTTCAATATCATGCGGGACATCGCCAAACGCTGCTTCCTCCAACCGCGCGATAGAAAATTAGCGTTAGATGGCGGTGCTTTACGCGAATTCCGTTCTTTTACATATTTGCGCCAGTGCCCACCATGTGTTCGATATTATCACGAAATGAGAAAACGGTCTTCGCCTTCGTTTACTTCATCGAATTCTTCTTCGTTTTTTCTGAAGTTTGGGTTTGTGAGTTGGTATCTGCGGAAGCTCGAAACCCAGCCAATTATCACAAAGAGCATAACATCATCACTTATTTTTATTGCAGCTGACTTGACTTCGCAGGTGAAAGGTTTTTGTTTTGCATCCTAGAGATTCTCATTGCTCTGATATTGTAGCTGCGATAGGCTAATTTCAACTTGTATGTATTTTATGCAACGACGCCGTGAATCTATGGAAAGTGGAATGCTGCAAATATAATTAATTGTTCGAGATAATTTCCCTGCTTGGGTTTTTACTTAACATTTTATAGTTTGAAATGCATAGTTCCCTAAAATGGCACTAGCTGACAATGAGTTGGAGCTGAACTGTTTTGTTTATGCATTTAAATTAATTTTTTTTAGCATGTAGCTGTAGGCTCGTGACTTGTCACTGTTTAAGCCAAATGTGCCTTGGGTGAGTTTGGAGGGCTTTGTGCCTACAATTTGTTTAATCATCAGAGTATCGAAGCTTCAACCCTTCCCTTGAAAGGGGTTCGAAATGAGCTAACTCTATTCCCAATTTAATTTCATGATCTTTCTAGTTTCTATATGCATCATTTTTCCCTCACTAGCCTTGAAAGTCATTAGAAATTCTATTTTGGCTTGATCATGGTTAGCACCCACTTGTTCGTGTGCATTACGAAGTCAGACCTTTTTCCGTGATGCTTTGCTTTTCTTTACCTCCGTTTCTGGCAGGTTTGTGGAATAGATTTTTAGAACTACTTTTGTCTTCAGGTCAATAATACAGTTCCTTTTTAACATTCATGCTAGTTGCCGTTCATAATATTCATTGAGCTTGTGACTGTAATAATTTTAATGCTTTTGTCTTCTTGTTTATCTTTTAACATGGTTTGATTTGCCACTGTTTCACAATTACGTATACTCAATTATTTGCAGTGTTTGTTTTAAACATTTTCTCTCTTTCCGCAATGGCACAGAAAAGACTTCCACTTAAGTTTTGAATACTGGCCATCAGTTTCTGTTTCTAGTAATTTTTTCCAGTCCAAGGCACAAGTTGGTCTTCATCCCTATTACGAGGCAGTGGCGTAAAAATTTTTCTCTGTTGTACAATGTGAGGCACATAAGATTTGTTACCAGTTTCAGGGTTTCCCCCAGTTGGGATTGGTTTCTTCCTTTCTGTGAATGTAAATTCCAAGTTTATTTGCTTGAATAATTTATTGCATAAGCTCCTAGTTTATTTTTACATTAAAAAGTGGACAGTCAATGTATGCTTCATGTGAAATGCCTTTGAAAAATCTTTAGTAAAATGTCCTTTTTATTTCATTTATATATTTATTCAAACAAAGAAGCAGTTTTCTATTTCTAACAAATTCCTGACAATGAACCTTATCCATGATTATGTTGTCCAGTTAGAGAACATTTTTTCACTGCTTGTCTTATCCTTCCCGGTTTTATCTTAGTATTTGTGCCTTAGTTAACTTAATGATTTATACATGCTAGACAATTACCATGCCATCGGAGTCTGCTTCCTATGACTTGAAAAGGACATTGAGCATGGGAACATATGCGTTATTCATTATGGGGCCATCACAACATATGTGGTTTAACTTCTTGTCCAAGGTTTTCCCAAAGACAGATGTGCCATCAACCTTGAAGAAAATTTTCATGGGGCAGGCGGTATTTGGTCCTATCATCAATACTGTTTTCTTCTCTTATACCTCTGTTCTGCGAGGTAATTCAAAACTTTTCCCTTCCAGAATGTTGTCACCTTCCACTTTCTCATATATCTAAAAGCCTCCTAGTTTGTGTAATCATTCATCAGTAAGGAATCTTGATCAATCAAGATATGTTTTTTTTACTTCCTAGAGGTCTATAGGAGTCTTTACTATACTTGCATGATGGTCCTTCACAGCTTTTCATTCAGATTCAACAGAGTGTAAATTTGGGTCATATAATGGGCATGCTCTGTGCTACATGTAACACACTAAATTGATGTCTCATTAATGCTTATTTCAAGTCAGCTGATACAATTTTTTCCTCCTCATTTTGTAGCATAACACTGTTGTAATTCTGATGAATAATTTTGTGCCAATTTCAGGTGAAAGTGGTTCTGAAATCGTTGCTAAGTTGAAGCGTGATCTGCTTCCCACACTTCTGGGCGGTGCTATGTTTTGGCCTGTCTGTGATTTTGTGACATTCAAATTCGTTCAAGTTCAGTTACAGGTTTGTATATTATAAACCAAGGCCCCTCTCTGTTCATAATTTTTGTTCTGTTTCAACTTTCAATTTGATGTTAATGAATGAACTCTTCTAGCTGCTCAACTAATGTTTATCTTCGTTTTGCGAATGGTGCAGCCATTGATGAACAGTTCCTGCGCCTATGTGTGGACTATTTATTTGACATACATGGCAAACCGATGAACGGATGAAGTGCCAGTTTGGTCAGGGCTAGGATTTTCATGTTTTCCTTTTTGCAGCAATTCCTCTCAATGGTAACAGGTCCATGTAGTGGTCAATTATTGATTTTGAAAGATTCAGTTTTGATGAGAGCACTCAAATTTTTTTTTTTTTATTTCTTGGGTTCCCCTCTAGTGACGTGTTCGTTTGGGTTTCAAAGAGAACAAAATTGGGGGCCAAAAAAAAAAAACGCAAAATGAAGAAGGAAAACTGCAATTTAGACTAAAACAATTTTGATCTCCCTTGTCACTTTATCAGTCTTTTCAATTGAGAGGACTCATGATCTCTAATATCCTAAAGCACATTCTCTTCTAAAGTTGTAGCTTTATTTTCTGATGATGTTCTTAAGTAAATAGTAGGGATGTTCATCTAGCATGCCTTCCATGTTATTTTCTGGCCAAATTTAACCAAATTGAGTCAAAGGCTAAAAGGGGAAGGTTGATTGGGTTGAGTTGCACAGTCCAATCGGCTAGCGTAGCCTTGCTTGATCTGATACGTGACATCGATCTATATGTTTGTTTTCTGCCGTAAATGATTTGAAAGGGTTTTTTCTTCTTACTAGGCTCAAAATTACTCTTGTACGTGTGAACATTGTTCAACTTTGTCCTGAAACAATCGAAGGTGGTGTTTGTGGATCAAAGTTTCTTCGCATCAAAACAAGTGAACTTTGAATGAGAATTATAGTCATCATGATGGTCAAATCAAATCCAATTGATTTTTTTCTCCTCAATTTGTTTCCATCTTTTGTCGTCCCCCGGCGCCCCCTTCCTTTTTTCCCACGAATTCGAGGGGTATTGGCGACCTAAAATTATAAGTGATATCAAATTCGCAATCTCCCTTACAAGAGAATCTTTATGTCACTGGGCTATAAAGCTTTTGCTATCTCTTATGCTCTTTATTGCAATAAGGTTGTATTGGCATAAGAGATGGAAGAAAATATTTACACATTTAAATTTTTTCTAAGAATAACAATATCGAACAATGACACTATTTAAAAGCAACCTTGCAAGGAAACCATACATGACAATTCACACTTATTAATACATTTCTGCTGTCAAAGTGCGAACAAATTGATAAATTAATAACGAATAAAAAAGAAAATACAAGAATTTATGAGACAAATTTACTTGGACTTTGTCCATTAAAATTAAAATCAACATTTGGGCATGTCGGTTGGTGGTGCCATGCTAGCGTCTGTTGATCAGGATTATTACCATTCTTCATAAATAAAAAAATATCTTGAAAAATACGTTGCATTTTTCTTATGTATTTATTGTCTTTAATCAATTTAACTAACATTTTTATTTATATAATTTGATTATTTGTATTTTATAAATAAAAGTTGAGGAAATGCATCAGAGAATAAAAATGAACGTAAACAATAAAAATCTAAAGATCTAAATTTATTTGAAAATTTGGTCAAAACATTTAAAAGGGTTTATTAATTATTAACTATGTGTCATACCATAATTACTCAATTCCTTGTACATTTTTGGCGTCCATTCACACTCAACATAAGGAAAGGAAAATTAAATACATATACAGTACATAATTAGATACATTGTATAAATAAAAATTTAAACTAGTTACTCTTCTCCCCCTAATTAACAATTACCCTTAATGGGCAAAACATTTCATAGAAAAATCAAGAGACCTGTCTGTTTTTGTTTTTAGTCTTATCTTTTAACCTATAGGGTTTATTTTGAACTTGATGGTTAGGATTTATCTATAACTATGTACCCACTACTCTTAGCATTTAGTTTAAACCTCCTTCACTCCTCTCTAGCCCTAGCCACCTCATCCCTTCCTCCTCTCTTGACACTGAAAATTCTCTCTTTGCTCTCTCTCTCTCTCTCTCATGCCGCACGCTCACAATTGTTATAGGGTTTTATTTCCAATTCATTTACGAGATGTTTTAGAGAGAACACAGTACTGAATCAATTATCTATATATGTTGCAAATGATCAAGTCTCCGTTTCTCTCTCTCCTTCTGTGAGAGCAATTTTCCTTTGCTTGTGTTTGTGGCTTGTGGCTTTTGAGGGTTCTTGTGTGTGGACAGTGATGGTGGTGGAGAATCCATCATCTAATAGACTAATTGATGGCGAATCGTTCGGATCTAGATTTATGATGAAGGTACTTTTGAATCAAAGTCATCAACTATTTCAATTTTATTTTGATTCGGTATGAAAGGCTTTGTGGTTGGTAAACTGGGAGGTAGTGGTTTAAGTCTTTATAGTGGTGATGGTTAGGATCTAGGAGCTTCCTTGTTCATATTGTGGTGGTGTCATTTCGACCTTTTCCTTAAGTTTTTTTTTTTGGGGTCCCATTTTGATTTTGGCGTCCATTTTTTTTTTGTGTAATTAAATACAAATATTTAGATTCAAAATAAACAAACACTATACCTAAGAAAAATCAATTTATTGTGTTAGTATTTGCTTTCTTTTGTGTAGATAATCATCAAACCAGAGAAAGTTTATGACAACAATGAAGACAAAGAGGATGGATGTATCATCGAATCTTATAGCATGTTGATTTTTGCCTATCAGATCAACGAGATACCCAAAGGTATATTAATAAATTTATGAGTATTTTGGCTGACATATGCTTTAGCAAGAAACTTGGGCATTTCCTCCTATTTGGTTCTTTAATAAAAGTATCAACAAACGGATATTTTTCTGTTTTTACATCTAAATAACATAACTATTTCTTCATTTGTTCAACTTTAGTTCTTATCCTTTCAGTTGGTTCATTTGTTAATTTAATATGATTATTTCATCGGCCATGACACCAAATAAAAGTAGACATTATTGCAACAGTTTCTGGATTAAAAATAACGGTAAAAGACTATGGATTTAGCACAAATATTTTGAATCGAAAGCTTAATTTGTAGATACCTAGAGGAAGTTTGTCAAGCTACTATGCCATTTCAGTAATCATCTCAACATAGTTAGTACCCAATTTATACATTTTCTAAAATAAATATTTTAAGAGTTTTTAGGAGAATTAAACTGATTTACAAGAAACAGGTTAGGTGGAAATTTTGGAAAGCAATGAAGCTATGAAATCTCTGAATTGAATTTACTTTTTTTACAGCAAAAGAGTTTTTCTAGTGGGTGATTCACCTTTACAAAGTAGTCATGGAGTTGGAATCGCACAACGGAGGTTTCACTTTGAGGTTCCCTAATTAGGGATCTCTAACTAGAAGAAAATATGACAATGTGTGGGATAAAAGATGACACATAGAGATGTGTGCGCTTAGAGAAGGTGGTTGAAGAGCTGAGGACAATAACGGAGGAAGTACAAATCAGGAATAGGATGTTTGCCAATCAAATCAACGATAGACCGAATGCACATATACTGGTAAGTATACTTTTTAATTGTACATTCATTTTGATATATTCTTGCACTTACATTGTAAAATAAACCCATACATTCTCTAAATTAATTAAACTTAAAAAGTTGGTAATTCAATTTGAGCTACAAATTATATATTATATTAAGGAGCGGAGGTACTATATAATACTTTTGAAATTATGTTGGTGCAGTTTATAGATAGATCACCAGTGATATTTAACACTCATCATACAATTTTTTTGCATCTCCAACTTTGGACTTTATCCTTTCAATCAATTCTTCACGTGTTAGCCCAAATAATAAAAAAAAAAGTGCTTCATTTGTTAATTGATCATGGTTATTTAATTCTTCCCGTGTATAAGATAACTTTTGAATATCGCATCTTAGCTTATAGCAAGTGCGTACGACAGAATATTTTTTATTAAAATGTTAGACACACTTATAAAGGCTAGATGCGCGTGATTAAAGGTCAGTCAAAAGCAAAGATTTTGATGTGCATCCGTGAGGTTAAGAATTCAAACCATAGTTTTAGCATAAACCAGAACATTCCGTCACTAATCACTGGTGAAATTTTTTCTTAACTAAACTAATTAGTAATAAAAATTTCATCCCTAATTTGTTGTTTGCTCATGATGAAATGGTTTCGTAGGAATAGTTTCAAAGTACAGTGAATGCTTTTTTGTCCTTAAGTATGTACGCTGACTTGTTGAGATATAGAAGTAAAACAACGCAACGAGACAGCAATATAATAAGAAATGTGAAAAGATATTTATTGTTCATATATTTGGTGTTTTCTTTTATATGTTACAATTTTTGAAATAATTCAGGTCCTTCTATAGGCTATAGAGATGTTTGAACATCCGATATATATTTTTTAATTTTTATCCCAATTAATAACATGTCTTTCTCTTTGTCTCTTTTTATACTTATTCTCTTTCATCTCTTTTCCAGTTTTCATACTCATTTTATCTCACTCACCCTCTCCATAAATAAAGTTATTTTTTGAAAAATAAGTTATATTTTTTTTTACGTATTTATTGTCTTTAACCAATTTTAACTAACATTTTTATTTATATAATTTGATTATTTGTATCTTATAAAAAGAAATCGATGGAATGCATAAGAGAATGAAAATCAATATAAACATTAGAAACCTAAACATCTTAATTTATTTAAAAATTTTGTCAAACATTTAAAAGGGTTTCTTGACTGTTAGCGAAAAGAAAAAATAGAAGGGTTTCTTGACTGTATGTCATACCATAATTACTCAATTCCTTGTACATTGGCATCCATTAATTCACACTCATCATAAAGAAAGGAAAATTAGATACATAGTATGTAATAAGATACATTGTATAAATGAAAATTTAAATCAGGTACTCTTCTCTAATTAAAAATTATCCTCAATGAGCAAAACATTCCATAGAAAACTCAAGAGAACTTTTCTTTTTAGTGTTATACTTTAACCTCTATAACTATTTTAAACCTTTTTAAATCCTCTCTAGCCCTAGCCGCCTCATCCCTCTTCCTCCTCTCTTAACACTAAAAACTACTCTCTCTATCTCTCTCACACACCGCACCCTCACAATTGTTGTAGGGTTTGATTTACAAGTCATTGACAAGATATTTTAGAGAGAAGAGAGTACTGAATTAATTGTCTACGTTACAAACGATCGAGTCTTGCTCCTTTCTCTCCTTTAGTGAGAGCAATTGTTCCTTTGCTTGGGTTTGTGGCTGAGGGGTTTCAAGGATTGTG